AATGTGTAAAAGTACATATAATAAATCAAGCAGCCACTGTAATGTTTTCATTGATCAATATAGAAACCTTTCCTTGAATAATTTGTTTTATAAGATATAAAATTGAACATTCATTATTGCTCTAGCAGACTAATATATTGGAATAAAAATATTGTTTATTTTGTCATGTATATATACAGTCGGTATTACTTATGAATACTATTGTTTGGAGGTTTTGCTTTAATATATTTTGCATTGTATGTCTTTTCTTTTACTTCATGGTGCCTGAATTTGTTACATTTTGCACAACTGTTTTAGGAGTTAGGAGTAGTAGTTCTGTGCAGTGAAAGGATACTTGTATTCTAAGCTGTCACCTTTTTCTCCTTGCGTCTTTGATTAACGTACATTTTCTCAAATATGATGCAGTTCACTTCTCCTTTTCCTCATAGAAACTGATTTTTTTAAGGGTTCTTTGTAGTACCCATCCCGTTTCTCAAAATTGTGGGGAAGGCAGTTGACTGGAAAACTTAATTTTATTATGTCGCTTTCCAAATTTTAAGTCAGTGGGGGCCAAACTTTTTGGCAGGCATGCCCCAAGCACCACTCTCATCCTCTTCCCAAAATGAATGGATATGTTTGTGCTTAGTCACTCTCTGACTCCCTTTCCTATCCATAAAAATGGAGAGAATGGTTCTTCTATTCATTTATGTTTGTGAAACACTCTGGTACTGTAGCAGTGTATGCTGTTGGAAACCTTTTAAAAAAAAGAATATTTTTTTCCCCATAGCAGAATTTGAATAATGTATTGTAAATAAGGTAGGGGCCACACATGGAACACCAAGGAGAAAATAAAATAATAGATTCTCAGCAGCAAGCTGTGTTCATTTTGTTCATTGAGTGAGACAAGATTCTATGGGGAAAAAGGTTGGGTGATTTTGTAATTGAAGCCCTGTCATAAAACATACTTGCAAATGGCCCAGATTAAATTTGCACAGGCAGCCTTCATTTGGGCATTTTCTTACTTCTGAGTGCTTTATCTTAGAAACTTAGTAATAGTGTCTTGATGTTGTTTTATTTGTATAACTATCTAAGTTTCTAAGAAAGCAAACTGAAAACGAGATTAATCATGAGGAGCTACATTGAAACCTGTGCAGGCCCTGAGTGGCTTAAACTTTGGTTATGCCACAAAGACCTCTGTCATTTGAACTGGTGTAGTAGCAGGTTGATAGTATACCAACAGTAGAGGAGTAAGGGAGACAGACAGTGGCTTTCACCAATACTTGCTGAAAGAGCAGTGGAGAGATGCAGGAATCTTAGATTTTATTCCAGGCTCTAAAGGTGCTTTAGTGTGTATAGACTCTGCTGCCCATTCTCCCAAACGTTGACCCCTTTTGTTTTACCTCTTGCAAACTTCTTCCTGTCGCGGTCCTATATCTGTTGCACCCCTTGTTCCTTCTCCCCTTCTCCTCATCTAGTGTGTTCCAATTTTCCCACCTCAGTCTCTTGGTCCTCGTATAGCCTCCTCCCCTTATACGTTTTACTCCTACCCATCCAGATTTTCTGTCCCAGTCTCCTGTTTCCCAGGCATTATTAGCTTTCTTGTCCCCAGTTTCCTTGCTCAGTTGGCCTCACTTCCCTCCCCAGTTCCCCTCTCTGTTCTTTCTTCATCCTCCAGTTGCAGTTCCCTACTTGCATTGCACATCACTGCTGGGTTCCAGTCCCATCTCTCTTTGTAGGCTTCCCTTCTAACCTGTATCCTTTCTTCCCTTATTTCCTCATCCCAGCATCTCTGCCTGATTAAAGCCAGTTCTCTTCCACACACGTCTCATGCCCCACTTTTAACAGAAACTCTAATGGAGCCATTACTGGGAGTCTGTCTGTAATCTCTCACATCTTTGCTCTCTGTCTTGCTTGAAATCTCCTTTTTGTTGACAACACATTTGACGACAAACCCCCTGATCCACCTTTCACATCATTCTTGGGGTGCCTGTATACATAGGGACCTACCTAAATTACAGTTTCACAGAAACCTCAAAAAACAGTGTTGTCCACCATTGCCAGGAAATCTGGCATGGGCTCCGATTTTCTGTGAAATCAACCAAAAAAACCCCAAAATGGTAGTGAGATAGACTGAGTGAAGGTGCTCTCCACCAATCAGCTGTGAGGGGCAGGGCAAAGGAAGTGGTAGTGATTAGACTAAGCGAAGGCACCCTCTGCCAATCAGTGGTGAGGGACAAGGCAAAGAAAACAGTAGTGACATAGACTGAGTGAAGGTGCCCTCAGCCAGTCATCAGTGAGGGGCGGGGTTGCTGTGACATGCCCGTGAAATTGGTTCTGTGCTGTGAACGGGCCAAAAAAACTTGTCTCACCGTGACTTAGGTAGGTCTCTGTTTATACAGGGACTCTCAAGAAAGGAATGACAAGTTGCCTAGAGTCAGCAAGTCAGTATGCACAAATTTATTGTGTATCTAATTGGGGTGCTCTTATTTAGAAATAAAGTGACTTTCACTTGTTGTAGCTTAATCCACATCCAGGATCGTGCTACTCCTGAATTAAAGCATTCAAGTTAGGGTTTAATGCATTTTCTTTAGGAACAATGAATTCTCACAGCTTTAGGACTTGTCAACACAGAGAATTCAGATTAATATAGGATGTGAATTTAAAGCAGAATAACTTTGATTAACACATTGTGTCAGTGCTGTTATGCTTTAAGAATGCCTCATTCTGAAATAATTACCTGCTAAAGCAAGCAGGTTCAACGACTTTGGAATAAAACATCCACCCAGGTTGTTGATCAGGAATTAACTAGTCTGAAATAACTTCCCATGTGGACAAATTCTTAGTTAACATTTCCCATGTGACAAGTGCTTAAAGCTTTATGTAGCTGTGAGTACAGTCTGCATATGGAACAGTTTGCAAGCCAGCTTCTTATGTTTTGGATAAGTCTTTAGAAATGTGCCAACTGCTAGATCAGAAATTTCTATTAAGTGAAATAGGAGCTACAGTCATATACTGTATATTTAAATAGGTGTTTAAGCAGAATAGCTTTCCACAACCTATTTTCCTAAAAAAAATCAACCTATTTTCTTCATAAAAATAAAAACTAAAAGGCCCCCATATTTTTCTAGATGCTGTGAGAAGGTAACTTGGAAGAAAGATGTGTGGTTTCCAGGAACTGAATGTTTTGATGTATACTGCTGCCTTCTCTTCATTCTGGTCAAGAGCATAGAGAATGTTTTAGAAAAATCAGTCTAGAATGTTTCTCTAAGCTCCTTTTTCTGGGCTTGCAATCCTTTGCTTTCAAGATGTTATTCCAGGCAGTACAATCTGTCTTCTGTAGATGCCTCAGTTAAGACCTTGTACTAAACCTCTTGCTGTTGGCTGATAAACTTGATGTTTTAGTCTGCAGTAAGTCAGGTGCCCCAGGCAGTTAATGAATTTGCTTCATCACTCCAGAAGAATTCCAGTCAGCATTCTATCATGCAGCATGGGGATTGTTATCCTTTGGATTATTAACACTTTAGGAATAAATCCCAACATAAAATTCAGTTGAAACCTGCCTGGTTTTTGTTCTGGCAGGGATTTGTAAAGAACTGGACCTCTCCACTTATGTTACAGGTGGCTCAGACTTTCCAGGGTATGAAACAGATTGGCACTGCTCCTGGTTCCATATTGCAGTGGGTCCCTACTGACTGTTACAGGCTAAAGAAAGTTCTTCATTTGCTCACCAAACCTCCCTTCGAACCTGTCATGAAAAGTTAAGTGTTGTCTAGCACCATGAAAGTCATCTTTGGCATGGGAGGTAAAATGAGATTAATGCAATGTCCCTCAAAGAACTTTTCCTACATTTCTTGGATGAAGGCACCCTGTGAATAAACTGGAGTTATTATAAAGCTTATCTGTTCTTTATTTTGCAACTTGCATATCTGATATCAATTAGGGAAATTCTGAAGTGTGATCTCAAGTATAACATACAGAAGAGAAGACTGAGGGGGGGATTTGATAAATCTTCAAATACCTGAAGGGAGAATATAAAGAGGTTGGAGATAGCTTTTTATCTGTGGCTGTAGGAGACCAGGGCTAGGAGCAGTGGCCTCAATTTAAGCAGAGAAAATTTAGGTTGAATGTTAGTAAGAACTTTCTGACTATGTGGGTGGTCAATCATTGGGACCGGTCACCTAGAGAAGTTGTCGAATTTCCATCTGTGGAAATTTTCAAGACCAGGTTAGACAGATGTGTGACTTGGATGGTTTAGTTTAGGGGGGGGCTGGACTAAATGACCTCATGCATTTTCTTCCAGCCCTACTTTCCTATGATCAGGATACTTTCCTTTTGCATAGCAAATGCTCTATTTTGTTTTCCTTTATGTGGTCACTGGAAAGGTAACAAGCCACTGAAACAAGTTTCCAAATGGATCAGAACAGGCATTTCTTAAAGAAAAAGATAAAATTCCTCCAGAAGTGCACAGGGCCTCCCCAACTCCCTCCAAGGTCCATGGCAGTGTTGTGGCACAGCAATAAAACTATGTATGAAAGAAAAAGTCTGTGAAGGCTCAAGCTATCCATCTCTTCACTACTTTATAAACAATATATTGTAGAGATGTTCATTTCTTTGGATGTGATATTGGATTGTCTGGCTCTGCTGGCTGCTATGGTTTTATATAATTTTTTATCCATTCTGTTTTCTATGTTGTTATTAATTCCCACTATTGTTTTCAGTCTGATTTATATGGTGCAACTGAGAAAAGACAATTTGGGTCCATCTGTATAAACTTATTTTCTCATAACACACACACACCATTCTGGAAGATCCCTCTCTTCTGGATATGGCTAGTAATTCTCATGGTTTTAATGGCTGTGCGCTCAAGTCTTCACCTGAGTGTTTGGATTCTTTCTGTTTTACATAATAGGGAAAAAGACGTGACAGGGATTAAGTATGTAATTATACAGATAAAGAGCAAAACTGACCTATTCAGTATTCAAATCAGATTTGTGGTGTTTGTTTGTTTGTTTTTTAAACAGCTAGATAGATTTAAAGAGCCTCCTGCGTTTGGACCAATGTGTGACTTACTGTGGTCAGATCCCTCAGAAGATTTTGGAAATGAAAACTCACAGGAGCACTTCAGTCACAATACAGTCAGAGGATGTTCCTATTTTTATAGGTAAAAAGTAATTTAGGATTTAATTGATATTTTAGTATTAAGAATTATATATCTTTAGAAAAGGTTGATTTTACTCATAGCTGTTTTTATTTCACAGCTACCCAGCAGTTTGTGAATTTTTGCAAAATAATAACTTGTTGTCAATTATTAGAGCACACGAAGCACAAGATGCAGGGTAAGTTATTTTGTATCCTTCCAGAAATTACTCAACAATGCAAAATACAAAATCATCACTTATTCTTTATGATGCAAATTAAGTTGTTTGGTTTTACAGCTATAGAATGTACAGAAAAAGTCAAACTACAGGGTTCCCATCATTAATAACAATTTTTTCGGCACCTAATTACTTGGATGTCTACAATAATAAAGGTAAGAATTTATTCCTAAGAAAATTATATTACATTAAATCTTTCCTAAAATAGTCTGGTGACAGAAGCACTATCCAAATATCAGTGCTGTTCTCTAAAAAAACAAACCAAAAAACCCTTGAGCCAAACTTAAACAGTATGCCAAATGCACATGGCATAAATGCATGGACATGTAAAAATAACTGTACAGGATGGCCTTTGTGCTGAAATCAACCAATGATAAAACAAAGTATACTTTTCCCTTTTTAGAAGTTAATATTTATAGAAGCACCAACCAAATGCTTTGCAGACAGGAAAGGATGTTCTGTGCTTACAGAGTTGCTCAAAGTCTAAAGAAAAGCAGCAAAGTAGAGAGGGGTGGAAGGTGGGATAACAGTAGTCAATTTATATATGGTTTAGCTGAATTCATGGTATGAAGCCTGCCAGAAGTGAAACGTTAAATGTCGACTTGGCAGGGGCCATGAAATGAGCTTAGGAATTTGCACTGTGCCTAGGGGTTCATGGGTAAGAAGACATGGAAATAATTGTGTGGTAAGCAAAAATGGGAAGGCAAACCAGGAATATTGGAATGGAGGGCTGGCCTCCATTCCAATGGAGGCAGCTTAAGCCTGGAATAGGCAGGGTAGAAGAGGGCAGCACAACAGTATATAGATCTTTGAACATGATGACTAAAAGCTTAAATTTCATTATAAATGGTGAGCTGGTAGAACAAAGCAAAGGGAGGGAGTGATGGGATTCAGTTGATAGACATGGCAGATACTGCATTTTGCACAATTGAGGAGGGACGGGTGTTTTTGAAGCCAAAGAGGGAATGCTACATTAAAATTAGATATATTAAGAGCATAAGTGAGAGACTTGGACATAGGTATAGGTAGACATATTTTAGAAATATGGAGGTGGAAAAGGTATTAGATTTTGGATACAGTTTGGTTGTGTTGAGCAAGAGTGAGGACCAATGTAGTGAGAGAGATGGCATTGCTGTCAGCAGCAAAAGGGAATGGTAAGGAGTTTGGTTTTGTTCTTGTTCAGTTTTACATCCAAGAGGTAATTTCAGAGAGAGACACTGAGGTGTGGAAGAAAAGTTAATGGTGGAGTTGTTACATGTTATCAGTTTGGGATGGTAGTTGAATTATGGAAACAGGATTAGATCATCCAGAAACAGAGAGAGAGAGGAAAAAAAAGACCAAGGAAATTAATTTTAAAAATTTTAAGGCCTTGTAAAGAGTCCCCTGAATCAGTGGGAGTCCAGTAAATCTGTCAAGCATATTAACAGTCCTATTGAAATTCAGACTTCTGTGCTAAGATAGTGAAGATCATTTTTGCTCCCCCTTTTCCACTTTGTGGGGCTGTCATAATAGGTTATAGGAACAAATGCTGTCTTAATGCATTATTACAAAGTCCTGCACTGAGGGCAGAACAATCCCATGGGTTGGGGACCAGCTGGTTAAGCAGCAGCTCTGCAGAAAAAGACCTAGGGATTACAATGGACAGTAAGCTGAACATGAACATAAACCAACAGCATGCCCTTGTTGCAAAGAAGGCTAACAGCATATTGGGTTGCATTAGTAGGAGTGTTGCCATAGATCAAGGGAAGTGATTATTCTCCTCTATTCAGCAGTAGTAAGGCCACATTTAGAGTACTGTGTCCAGTTTTGGGCCCCCCACTACAGAAAGGATGTGGAGAAATTGGGGAGAGTCCAGTGGAGGGCAGCATAAATGTAGGCAGGCTGGGGCACATGACTTGTGAGGAGAGGCAGAAGGAACTGCGCTTATTTAGTCTGGAGAAGAGATGACTGAGGAGGGATTTAATAGAAACCTTCAATTACCTGAAGCAAGGTTCCAAAGAGGATAGAACTAGACTGTTCTCAGGGTGGTATATGACAGAACAAGGAGCAATGATCTCGAGTTGCAGCAAGGGAAATTTAGGTCAAATATTAGTAAAAACTTTCTCACAAGGAGGGTAGTAATGCTCTGAAGTAAGTTACCCAGAGAGGTTGTGAAATGTTCATCCCTGTTTATATAACCCAAGTAGACAAAGCCTTGGCTGGGATGATCTAGATGGGGATGGCCTTGCTTTAATTATGGGGTTGGACTAGATGACCTCCTGAGGTTCCTTCCAACCCTAATTTTGTGTGATTCTCCACCTTTCAGTGAATCCAAAAGCTACTCTCAAGTCAACGCAAGCATCCATCCTCACTCCACCCTTGCAAAAATAACTACAGGAAAGCTCTACCAGAAAGCTGTCTTTCTGCCTTCTCCATGTGGCTTCTCCATCCTAGTTTTCAGATTTCCTTGAGTTTGTTCCTTTGCCATTCGGAGTGGAAGACTTCCCAGTGGCTTTATAAGAAAGTTGATTTATAGAGAGGATATAAATAATGCCTGAATCTGATTGTTATTTTGACTTGGAGGTTTCTTATCATGCCTGAAATAGCATTTTTCATTAGTTTTCTTACATATGTCTATTATTAATACAGAATTGCACTGACACTAAAATTAATTATTTTTTTTTAAGTATATCGCTTAAACTGCAACATATGTAGTAATGACAGTTAGTTTCTCATTGTCCAAAGCTCTCTGGTAGAATCCTCTCTGTTACTATCCCGTGGTAGTCATGAATAAAAAAGTAAGGAGTGCCTCTTGGGTTTATATTTATCTGAGTTGTAAAACAGCTGTAAGTAGGGTTAAATGGTGGCTCTGTAACTATTGTGCTTATTGTGAAAGATAAACATTTGTACCTGAATTTCTGAATGTTTTACAGCTGCTGTATTAAAATATGAAAATAATGTGATGAATATTCGCCAGTTCAATTGTTCTCCACATCCTTACTGGTTACCAAATTTTATGGATGTATTCACGTGGTCATTGCCATTTGTTGGAGAGAAAGGTAGGTAATTGTTACACAACTTAAGTAGAAGTCTTTGTATTCTGTTTTTGTTGCTGTTGCAGGTTAATATTTACTGAAGAGGAGGATATATTTTCAGAGGTGTCTACTCTTTTGTTTTTGAATTAGGGGGAAGAGATATGAACACTTGCTCAAAGAAATGTTATTTGCATGTTCCATTGTAAATCCTCATCTAAATGTGCTATAGTATATATCGGTGAGAGATCATGAAATAGGATGCAACTTCACCCATAGTGATTGGTACTTCTTCCATCACCCTTTTGGCTGAGGTAGCTGTAATTTTGCATGATGAAGCAGTCAAAATTTAAGTTCTTTAAAAGACATATTATTGCATAGTGTCAATAATTCATTGTTTTAGTACAAGAAAAAGTTTAAAAACAAATCAAGCACAGCTTAACTAGTTAGTTGATTAAACCTATAGAGACCATAACCAGTCAGCCACAGAAAATATATTAGACCAATCCTTAGTCTCATGCTATACTGCAGTGGTTCAAATAGAGCAAGCTTTAGCATATGACTTAACACAGTCCTTTTTATGGCTAGCTTATTTATAACTTACGATCCTATAGAATTACTCATATGCATATTTGTCTTGAGAGAAGTATTAATTTATATGCATGACCATGGATCATGCATATAAATCATTCTTAGCAGTAATTCTTTAAAAGTGCAAGATACAAACAATGAATAGATTTCAATGTAGAGGGAAAAGATCCTTATTGTACAATTAAGCGTATGACTTTAGATTGTCACCAAAGTTTAGCTACACGTTTGACATGTATATGTCATCTAACAAGTTTAGTTAATAATTCTAATATTATAAAAGCCTATGTCTGTAACACTTTAGTTGCACTCTGATTAGCTGACAGAAACAGCCAATCAGAGTGCTCCAAGCATGGGGGAGCACTGCCATGATTCCAAAGCCGCCAGCAGCACTGGTCTCGGCTCCTTCCCCCCCACCCATTCCCTGCAAGAGGCAGAACAGCAGCAGCATGGGACGTTAGGTGGCAGCACTCCATCCTCGCCCCCCGCTCCGCCGTCATTCTTGAGAGGCTGTTGGCTAGTAATACTATAAAAGCCACATCCTAATACGTGTTCAAGCCAGAATAGATGCCCCAAACTAACAGATGCTAGCAGTTGAGGTTTGTGGACAATTTCAAGAAACTGTTTCCATTTTACATAATGTTTTATTACAGATTTTTCTAATTTTATACATTGTCAATATTACATTATTAGAATTCTTAAATACTGTCTAGATCTGATGGATGTTTTTTTAACATCTAAAATCAAGTGGGACTCCCTAGAGTCTGTCCTGGGTCTGGTATTGTTCACATGTTCATAAATCATTTGGATGATGGAATTGAGTACATGCTTAGCAAATCTTCAGACAACACCAAATTGGGTGAAGTTGCAGAAACTACAGGGTGGAGCTAGGATCTACAATGACCTGGATACACTGGAGAAACAGTTTGCATTAACCAGAAGAAATTCAAGAAGGATAAGTGCAAAGTCCTGTACTTGAGATGGAATAATCACATGAAAAATACAGACTGGGGAGTGCTAGGCTGCAATACTGCAGAGAAGGACATGTGGGTTCCTTGACTACTATTAGCATTGAAAACTATTTTTGTCCAGAAGATCAGATTACTGAGCAACTCGAGTATTTCCTAGGACAATGAATTTGTTAACTGTAGATGCAGATGCTTTGTTTCACTTTGCATTCCTGAAAATATTTAGATATGTACAACCAGTTAATTCATTATTATTCTTTTCAATACAGTAACAGAAATGTTGGTGAATGTTCTGAGCATTTGCTCTGATGATGAATTAATGACAGAAGGAGAAGATCAATTTGACGGTAGGGTTACTTTTATATCTATAAACTATTATACTTTCATGGAAACTTGTGGAACAGTAGTTTAGTGGTTGAGATTTGACTAGTGATATCTATACGATAGGAAAAATGTATTGTCTTCAGGTTTTGTTCCTTTTTCTTTAGATTTAGGTTTGTGTATGTAAAAAGTGCGCACATGTGTACATGCATGCACATACCCTCCTTTTTTTTTCTTTTGTAAGCTATTAGCAAGCAATAATGATATTTATTTTGTAAACATTAACACGTGATTACAGATCAAAGATGAAACATTTATATGTAAAGTTTTCAAAGTCTTAGGACTTTAAAAGTTAATAAAAATAAAAAGTTAATATGTTTCTACCACTGAAAATGTTATTTGCTTGACACACAAGGTTAACAGACATCTAGCTAGAATAATGTATTGATAATTTATTTATAGCATTCTCATAACTATCTTTTTAATACAACATTTATTTTTATCCTTCTAAAACTGATACATTTCTGTCAAACAGATGTAAATATATTTTATATGGCAAAGACTTGTTGCTCTCTATGAAACTTTCTCACGTATATGTTAATTTTACTTCTTGAATTTAAAGCAGAAAGCTTTGAAAGAGAGGTTATTGTGTATATGCTGTATATATTCGTGTGTGTGTGTGTGTGTGTATATATATGTGTCTCTATATATATATGTGTCTCTATATATATATGTGTCTCTATATATATATGTGTCTCTATATATATATGTGTCTCTATATATATATGTGTCTCTATATATATATGTGTCTCTATATATATATGTGTCTCTATATATATATGTGTCTCTATATATATATGTGTCTCTATATATATATGTGTCTCTATATATATATGTGTCTCTATATATATATGTGTCTCTATATATATATGTGTCTCTATATATATATGTGTCTCTATATATATATGTGTCTCTATATATATATGTGTCTCTATATATATATGTGTCTCTATATATATATGTGTCTCTATATATATATGTGTCTCTATATATATATGTGTCTCTATATATATATGTGTCTCTATATATATATGTGTCTCTATATATATATGTGTCTCTATATATATATGTGTCTCTATATATATATGTGTCTCTATATATATATGTGTCTCTATATATATATGTGTCTCTATATATATATGTGTCTCTATATATATATGTGTCTCTATATATATATGTGTCTCTATATATATATGTGTCTCTATATATATATGTGTCTCTATATATATATGTGTCTCTATATATATATGTGTCTCTATATATATATGTGTCTCTATATATATATGTGTCTCTATATATATATGTGTCTCTATATATATATGTGTCTCTATATATATATGTGTCTCTATATATATATGTGTCTCTATATATATATGTGTCTCTATATATATATGTGTCTCTATATATATATGTGTCTCTATATATATATGTGTCTCTATATATATATGTGTCTCTATATATATATGTGTCTCTATATATATATGTGTCTCTATATATATATGTGTCTCTATATATATATGTGTCTCTATATATATATGTGTCTCTATATATATATGTGTCTCTATATATATATGTGTCTCTATATATATATGTGTCTCTATATATATATGTGTCTCTATATATATATGTGTCTCTATATATATATGTGTCTCTATATATATATGTGTCTCTATATATATATGTGTCTCTATATATATATGTGTCTCTATATATATATGTGTCTCTATATATATATGTGTCTCTATATATATATGTGTCTCTATATATATATGTGTCTCTATATATATATGTGTCTCTATATATATATGTGTCTCTATATATATATGTGTCTCTATATATATATGTGTCTCTATATATATATGTGTCTCTATATATATATGTGTCTCTATATATATATGTGTCTCTATATATATATGTGTCTCTATATATATATGTGTCTCTATATATATATGTGTCTCTATATATATATGTGTCTCTATATATATATGTGTCTCTATATATATATGTGTCTCTATATATATATGTGTCTCTATATATATATGTGTCTCTATATATATATGTGTCTCTATATATATATGTGTCTCTATATATATATGTGTCTCTATATATATATGTGTCTCTATATATATATGTGTCTCTATATATATATGTGTCTCTATATATATATGTGTCTCTATATATATATGTGTCTCTATATATATATGTGTCTCTATATATATATGTGTCTCTATATATATATGTGTCTCTATATATATATGTGTCTCTATATATATATGTGTCTCTATATATATATGTGTCTCTATATATATATGTGTCTCTATATATATATGTGTCTCTATATATATATGTGTCTCTATATATATATGTGTCTCTATATATATATGTGTCTCTATATATATATGTGTCTCTATATATATATGTGTCTCTATATATATATGTGTCTCTATATATATATGTGTCTCTATATATATATGTGTCTCTATATATATATGTGTCTCTATATATATATGTGTCTCTATATATATATGTGTCTCTATATATATATGTGTCTCTATATATATATGTGTCTCTATATATATATGTGTCTCTATATATATATGTGTCTCTATATATATATGTGTCTCTATATATATATGTGTCTCTATATATATATGTGTCTCTATATATATATGTGTCTCTATATATATATGTGTCTCTATATATATATGTGTCTCTATATATATATGTGTCTCTATATATATATGTGTCTCTATATATATATGTGTCTCTATATATATATGTGTCTCTATATATATATGTGTCTCTATATATATATGTGTCTCTATATATATATGTGTCTCTATATATATATGTGTCTCTATATATATATGTGTCTCTATATATATATGTGTCTCTATATATATATGTGTCTCTATATATATATGTGTCTCTATATATATATGTGTCTCTATATATATATGTGTCTCTATATATATATGTGTCTCTATATATATATGTGTCTCTATATATATATGTGTCTCTATATATATATGTGTCTCTATATATATATGTGTCTCTATATATATATGTGTCTCTATATATATATGTGTCTCTATATATATATGTGTCTCTATATATATATGTGTCTCTATATATATATGTGTCTCTATATATATATGTGTCTCTATATATATATGTGTCTCTATATATATATGTGTCTCTATATATATATGTGTCTCTATATATATATGTGTCTCTATATATATATGTGTCTCTATATATATATGTGTCTCTATATATATATGTGTCTCTATATATATATGTGTCTCTATATATATATGTGTCTCTATATATATATGTGTCTCTATATATATATGTGTCTCTATATATATATGTGTCTCTATATATATATGTGTCTCTATATATATATGTGTCTCTATATATATATGTGTCTCTATATATATATGTGTCTCTATATATATATGTGTCTCTATATATATATGTGTCTCTATATATATATGTGTCTCTATATATATATGTGTCTCTATATATATATGTGTCTCTATATATATATGTGTCTCTATATATATATGTGTCTCTATATATATATGTGTCTCTATATATATATGTGTCTCTATATATATATGTGTCTCTATATATATATGTGTCTCTATATATATATGTGTCTCTATATATATATGTGTCTCTATATATATATGTGTCTCTATATATATATGTGTCTCTATATATATATGTGTCTCTATATATATATGTGTCTCTATATATATATGTGTCTCTATATATATATGTGTCTCTATATATATATGTGTCTCTATATATATATGTGTCTCTATATATATATGTGTCTCTATATATATATGTGTCTCTATATATATATGTGTCTCTATATATATATGTGTCTCTATATATATATGTGTCTCTATATATATATGTGTCTCTATATATATATGTGTCTCTATATATATATGTGTCTCTATATATATATGTGTCTCTATATATATATGTGTCTCTATATATATATGTGTCTCTATATATATATGTGTCTCTATATATATATGTGTCTCTATATATATATGTGTCTCTATATATATATGTGTCTCTATATATATATGTGTCTCTATATATATATGTGTCTCTATATATATATGTGTCTCTATATATATATGTGTCTCTATATATATATGTGTCTCTATATATATATGTGTCTCTATATATATATGTGTCTCTATATATATATGTGTCTCTATATATATATGTGTCTCTATATATATATGTGTCTCTATATATATATGTGTCTCTATATATATATGTGTCTCTATATATATATGTGTCTCTATATATATATGTGTCTCTATATATATATGTGTCTCTATATATATATGTGTCTCTATATATATATGTGTCTCTATATATATATGTGTCTCTATATATATATGTGTCTCTATATATATATGTGTCTCTATATATATATGTGTCTCTATATATATATGTGTCTCTATATATATATGTGTCTCTATATATATATGTGTCTCTATATATATATGTGTCTCTATATATATATGTGTCTCTATATATATATGTGTCTCTATATATATATGTGTCTCTATATATATATGTGTCTCTATATATATATGTGTCTCTATATATATATGTGTCTCTATATATATATGTGTCTCTATATATATATGTGTCTCTATATATATATGTGTCTCTATATATATATGTGTCTCTATATATATATGTGTCTCTATATATATATGTGTCTCTATATATATATGTGTCTCTATATATATATGTGTCTCTATATATATATGTGTCTCTATATATATATGTGTCTCTATATATATATGTGTCTCTATATATATATGTGTCTCTATATATATATGTGTCTCTATATATATATGTGTCTCTATATATATATGTGTCTCTATATATATATGTGTCTCTATATATATATGTGTCTCTA